CAAGCCTTACTGTACGTGGGAGTAGTTGGGAAGTTCTTCAACCAGTCAGACCAGACAGAGGGACCCACTTTACCGGCTCTACCAACCCGGGGCGAGAGGAAACCACACACTTTCTGTCAAAGGCTTCATAAATCAGATTTTACTTCTACTCAGATGCAGCCAGGGAAACGCAATGTATGTAGAACACAACATACATTCTGATATTCTGAGAAATGCATTAATTACAAAATTCGTTGGATTGAGTTGGTAAATGATTGATTTTTCCATGAAAAGTGTTTGATTAATGACACCCTGCTTGTGTTTGTTATGACTTGGTCCTTCCAGTAAATAAACCTGAAAGTAATATGATATGTAGGACCCCCCACACATGCAAACTGAACTGACTAATGGGACAAATGACGAAAAAGTTATTCATGTCACAGAATCAGCACACACAGACACCCACATACATGCACACACGTATACACACACACACACACACACACACACACAAAACAAGCTGCACAATGTCCTGTGCTGCAGGTTTAGCCCTCTTTTAGACACATTTCACACATTCTGGTTCTCTCCTGGGAACAAACGAGTAGATGAAGCATTATGGACCCGTTTCCAGTATGTTTGGACCACCTGGCAGTGCCAGGGTGACAGATGGTCTGTTCGTTCACAGGTCTGCACAATTAGGAACAGAAAAATCAGGCAAGTTATAAAGCTGACATCATGTAGAAACACTTACTAAAGTACAAATGGAGCAAAGCTAAAGTTTGTTTTTCCCCAGAAAACTATTTCTGATTATGCAGTTTCTGTTAATGAGCTGAACTCCTGCAGACGACATACTTGAGGAAGATAAGAGATCAGACAGCACCACCATGTGGCAAGAAAAGGGTATTTCTCAAAGGTATAAACAGTATAGACATGGATAATTATCAGTCGCTTCAGTAGCTGTGTTTCCATTGACCATATAGTTGCACAATTTTACATTTTGAAAATAAATTTGCTTAATGGAAGTACACCAATTTAAAAAAAAAAGTTTTTTGATAATAGATTTTGGCTAAACTTTCACTAAGCTTCAATGGAAACATTTTCGCATCACACAAGTCACATGATCAACAATCGGATGTTGCTACTGGCACGAAACACAAAGAAGCCAACAGGAAGTAGTAGGAGGATGTCGTTGCGACATGTTTTATGATTCATCGCATGAACAAACTTATTCACATATGATTTTCATTGCATTTATTCTTTAATAAAACACAGCGATTGTGAAATTGTGTTGTTTCAGCATCAGCAGAATATTGACAAAGTTTTGTGGACATTTGTAATGGAAACGGAGCTACAGACTGGTGATTAGAAAAATGTGATGAAGATAGCTTGATCACATTGAATTACACAAATTCTAAAAATCCATCTGTTAACATGCAACTAAATAATCTTGACCTTTCCTTTCTGTGAGGACAAAATCTCACTGAACTAAATGTACAAAACTTCCATGAAGGGACAACCCAATCTACTGTTTTAGTAAAAACCCCAGAACCAGAGGTGAGTGGTAACTACTTACATTTAGTTCAGTAACTTTTTATTTCAAAAATGACTTCATTAGTTTAACTGGGCCATACACCATTATGAAGTAATACTCTAAAGTAAAACTTCTTGCTACTCCAGCCACCACAATTTCACCACACGGACAACAAAAATGTTTTAACCAAAAATGTAGCAGACAGACATACACCTTCAGGTTATGTTGAAGTGAGACCTCTTGTTCATACACCAGCTTCAGTGTTTTAATGAAATCTATCTGCTGAGCTGTTTGGAGGTCAAGGAAAATATTCCATAAGCAGTTCATGCGGTCACTGGAAGTTTTTTATCCTGTTCTAACGTAAACAACAGGGCTGCACCGATTTTAAAGCCTAACCTGATGATTCCAATTTTGGCCTTTTTGTCCAAAAAGTCATCAGGTGATTTCCAAAGACAATTTGTTGCACCTGGTTTTATTTATGACCATTAAAGTGAAGTGGAAAATGCATACTACACCAAAGAATCCCAATAAAATACATTGAAGTTAGTATTGTTGTAGGATGTACACCCCATTAAATACATTAATGGCCCTTTGCTCTGCAGAAATTTATATGAATGCAGAAGACGAACCAGGTCAGATTTACAGCTCATTTAACAGACGTTGACTGTTCCAGATCTGATCTCACCCAGCAGCCCTGGGTACAGTTTACACTCCAAACACAGCACATTTACTTCCTGCTCTCTGTCCAATCAGAGCCAGTGATGTGTGGCTCTGTGTTTACAGTATAGAGACTTAAGTGTATTTAGTGTTCTGAAGTGTTATCAATTAGAAGGAAACAGAATGATATCCGGTGGAATAATAAACAGATCGTGAAATTTACAGATTGTTTCAGCACCAGATTATATAACTTATTCTTTGCCCTTTGTTGTCTTTCAAATTTGCTGTTTGTTCTTTATTGATCTCTCTGATGCTTTCAAAGAACAGCCGGATTTATACTAAAACTAAATCAGGAGCTGATCATTTCACCCCTTCTGCAACTGGATGTTCTGTACCCACTTTAAGAATAGAATTAAGGAGCTAATCTAGAACTAAAATCTGTTTCTAAAACTAAACATACCCAACCAGGGATCAACAGGGATTAAGAGGAATAGAGTATAATAAAGTTTTCACCAAAAAAAATATGCAATAAAATACATTCTGTGACACTGTAGATTTTCTATGATCATTTATGTCAGATATGCAATAGTTGAAGTTAATGGATACAAAATGACATGCTAAGGTGTGTAAACAGAAGTAGAGTAGGGGTCTGAAACCTGTGGCCCCAGTAACTCTTTGGACCAATCACAATGACTTATGTAAAAGTGATAATGCAGGTTTTATATGAAACACTTGCATTGAATTTCAACCAAATGAAACTAAAAGCACAAATATTTTTTTTATTTGCTTTCCTTCTATTAATGATGGAATAGTGTTACTAAAATCCTGTAGTAGGAAATGCATCCATTCTCTCTTTGCTAACATTTTTATGTTTTTCTCTGTAGTCTACAAAAGGAGATAAAATGTTCCCAAAGCAAATATTTCCCAAATATCATAAGCTGTCTTTAATCAAAAGGTCAGATAACATTAGCAGCTCTAAGTAAGTTATAGACTGTAAAGGTCACTGACCTCTGAAATTGGCAAACTAATTAGTGAAAGAAGAAACTGACTCATAATTGCACACAGATGGACTCTTTAGTGCCTGGATGACTTCTGAAGGCTGTTGGTTACACTGGATTTTATTTTCTGATTATAAAAGGGGCAGAGGACAAATAATGCAAGGCTAGAATTTTATTTGTAATGTAATCTGGGGAGAATTTTTTTTCATTTAATTCAATTAAAACTTCAACAGTTATGCACTACTTAGTATTGGTCTTTTAAGTAAATTCCCAATAAATACATCACACACGTGTCATGTGACAAAATGTTCCAATTTCTATGACCCTATAATTTGTTTGCAAAGCAACATGCTTTCAACCAGAAGAGAACTCCAGATGGCGACGTTGAGTTGAGACCTGATGTTTGGTATAACAGCAGAAACCATGAACTCAGCCTGGAGTTACATTCCAAAACCACTCCTCTACAGAGTCAGAAAGGTACTATTGGTGTGATCTTTTAGGTCCAACATGTTGCTGCAAAAAAAATAAAAAACCATATAGCCTCTCTGGAAATATTAATACACCTTCTAGTTTTAGTAAAGAAATGTCACAGAAAGCCTCACGATTGGTTGGTGACATACAAAATGACATCTTTAACTGTGAGGAGAAGCTGTGGGGTTGAAGCATTATAACCCATCAGCTCTCAGGTGCAGTCAGATGCTCTGCTGTTGTGTGGAGACATTACGTACCAGAAGTGAAAAGCAGACAGAAAGTGCATCGACAGCAGTAAGGAAACCGAGCTGCAATCACAACATACCATCTGAAAACCATGACATAGTTTCAGAGATGAGAGGAGTGAAAGGTGCTGCCTCTCCTATCCATCTGAGATTGTTGCTACAACAACACTTCCTGCTAGGCTGATGACTCAATTAGTAAATTAGTGCTCCTTATGCTTATGCTGTTCACTATGTGATCTACCTGGCCTGCTTCAGGCCAAACTAAACAATCTCCGCCCTTGTTGAGCGTTTTATTAAAGTAGCTCTGCTAGCTAACCGATTGATGGGTGTGTCTGTATGTGGAATGTGGAGTCTCCACCGCTCTCATTGCATCTACTCCTGCATAGGGTGGAAACCAAGCAAAGCAAATACTCAGCTGTGACACAAACAGTTATGTGAAGAAGCGTTTATGCTCCTCCTCTTTACACTTTGTGGTCACACAAATATTTTCTTAAAAATAAGAAAGTTCTTTAAAACACAGCTGATTAGTTTAATTTGAAATCCAAATCCATAATTACTCCCAAATTTGTTGCATAGTTTGATGAATGACTAGAGACAACCAAAGTTATTACGTTGGTTGTGGGTTCTATTCCCAAGTTTTTTTTTTTTTTATATTATTAAATTTTTATTTAACCAGATAAAACCTCTTGAGCATAGCAGTTGTGACAGCACTAATTTAAAGATGTTTTTGGTTGTTTTTTTGTTTTTTGTTTTTTTGGAAAAAGAGTTCAATGACACGAGCAAGCTGAGTTTTAGTTCAGCTTGCAAAGTGTTCCAAGCAGAAGGTACAGAAAACTAAAATTGTTCCCTTTTTCTGTTCGTACACAAGGAACATAGAGGTGCAAACAATCCTTGGAGCAGAAGGCATATCTGGTTTCTGCTTTCTGAATAAAAGTACTGTACATAAATAATTAGGAAGCAGGTCAATAGGAGACTTGTGCACCAGAGTAATCCGGTATGAATGTCCCCTCATAGGCAGGGACAACATGCTAGCTTTACAGTACAGAGCACAGTGGCAACTACAACCACTGGTTGTAGGTAGCTACAACCAGTACACCGGAGTCTAACTGAACCCTAACCCTACAGACAGCTGTTAAAGCACAATAACAATGCACCACAACAGGAGCAAATAGAAGATAAAAAGATCGAGAATTGAGTCCTGAAGAACCCCACAAGACTCGATTCTTGCAAGATACCAAGATCCAGGCTCTTGGTACACTTCCTTTATCCTTTACCTGGTACGTTCTGTCATTCAAACAGGAACAACACCAATCCAGGGCTAAACCCTCAGTTCCATCCCAGTGTTTCAAACCAGAGATATACTATGGTCTACAGCACTGGTCCCCAAAGTCGGTCCTCGAGTGCCGGCATCCTGCATGTTTTAGTTCTCTCCCCGGTTTAGCGCACCTGGATCAAATGATGGCTCATTAGAAGGCCTAAGAAGAACATTGACAAGCTGAGAGAACTAAAACATGCAGGGAGAGAACTAAAACATGCAGGCTGGGAGAGAAGTAAAACCACCAGGGAGAGAACTAAAACATGCAGGCTGGCCCTCGAAGACCGACTTTGGGGAGCAT